GCAGCTACTTTGGTAACTAAACTGATTGTAAAAAATCACACAACTACTGATTTAATAAATGGGTTTGTGGAAGTATAATATGGAATATAAATCAAATAAAAAGAATAGACAAGAATTTAAAACATGAACTGTTACATAGCATAAATGTCGGGGGAATATAAATCTTGCACAAAAGTAGTAGTGAATCTTACTGATATTTTAAAAGTATAACAAAAATCTAAATATTGAAGGTATTTATTTATTTATTTTATTTTGAACAAACAAAAAAGATACAAATAAAATAAAATATAGTTTGTTGCAGTGGCGGTTCTAGAGGGGGGGCCAGGGGGGCCCGTGCCCCTGTGACAAAAAGCTTGGCCCCCCTTGTGGCCCCCCTAAATGTGGAGTTTGAAATAATTTTTACAAAACTGTTTTTTGCTATCGTATGCGTATTATTTTTTATTTTTCCATCTTTGTGGATTTGCATTTTCACGTGACAATTCGCATCACATTCGCGGGAATCGCGGCAGAATAACGCCTGTCTCCTGCACGCGAGAGAGGAGAGAAGAAGAAAGTTGGTAAATGTCAGTTCAGTTGTAAGTTCATTCTTTATGTGCGTATGGCGTGTGCGATGTGTATTGTCTATTATGATATTGTAATCATTGTTTTAACTATGTACGAGGCACTGTGAGCTGACATAGCATTTGTCTATCGTCCTTTCACTGCTGTGTGCAGTTCATAGGTAGGCTATGTCCCCAAATTAGTTTTTGTCTTATATTTATATCATATTATGTTCTTATATTAGAATATCACATCAGCAAGAGTGCCGTTTTCCCGTGCACAATTGCAACTGTGATATTTATGTTATACAACAGTTAAATTAACAATAAGTTAACATTGGGAGTTACTTTTTAGACACAATATTGTCAATATTGTTTGTTTTCCCTTTATTTCGCCGACTAGAATTTCATAATGAAACCGTAGTAGTGAGTCTCAATGCAACACAGCGATGATTTATTGACTGAAATCCGCGTTTTGAAGGAATCACTTGCTGCTTTCCCGAATAAATCAGCCGTTTGAACAAATCGTTTGAATGAATGAATCCCTCTTACAGGGACTTGCCGCCGCCTACTGGCGGTTTTAGTTTCATATTTAAAGTATCCTTTAATTAAAACGTTAAAATTAGAAATAATTTTATTTTTAAAAATTGATTTAAAAAAAATCTCATAGCTTTATTTATGCAATTGTAAATGGAGTGTAAATATATTAATGCCACTTCTGTGTCACCTCTGCACTGCAAAGATGGATTTTGATTGAATTAATTAATTTGACTGGTAACAGTGGTACTGTATAATTATTGCATAATTAAGTATTATTGTATAAATAAGTATAATTACTGTATAATTTGAATGTTAGTATTTGACATAAAAGGTGATGCATAACTCTAAATAAGTTTAGAAAAAATGTCCATATATAGGTTAAAATGCCCCTGGAAATCAATTTAAGGCGGCAAATATTGCCTCTTAATTAAAAAATTTATTTCTGTCACTGCTGTGAACTGACCACTGCATAGAATATGAAAAATATTAATATCTTCGTGATTCAGCTGTCAACAACAGGCCTAAACCAGCCATGGCACCAGCACAAAAACACAATCAGTAAAATATTATCTAATTATTAACAAAATGTTGAAAATATTGAAATATATTTTTGTCAATATTGCACACCCCTAATGTACGGTATTAATTTTGATTTCTTTAGGTCTTAAAAAGCCTTAAATGTGACTTTAAAAAGTGTGCAGGAACCCTGTAAACGGTTAGACATATCAAGTCAGTTATTTTCAGTAAATGAATTAATAAGCTTCTTGGTCCCCATTGCTTTTGCTCTACAGTTCTCAAAATGAAGAGAAAAAAGGACATCATGTCTATTACAGTTACTGTGACTAATACTGAATATGTAATGCAAATGTAAAAATATAATGGAAATGCAAATACATTGTTGAATGATTATAAACACGGTATTTTGCCTGTTAATGCCTGCAGCAGTGCAGAAAATGATATGACAACAATAAGGTCTAAATGTAACTGGCCCCTCTAACAGTACAACTGGCCCCAGCTTGGCCCCCCCAGTTGAAATGGGCTAGAACCGCCACTGGTTTGTTGCAACATACCGAAAGAAAAAAACGATATCTAAAAAGTATTTATATATATAACTGCATTTACATTTGTATTTATTTAACGTATTTAATTAATGTGTGTGTGTTTAAAAATCATTTTAATTAATTGTTAATTCAATAAACTTTAAGAAAACATTTTTCAATTACAAATGTATTTGATATCTTTTGGCAAATTATCAATTCTGCGTCTGCAAATAGAAGGTTTATGTATTTGATTTGAATGATCTTTCTAGGTTTAGTGCCACATTAGTTTTTCATTTAGAAATTAAATTATCGTCATACTAAAATGTTGATTAAGTACAACAATAACTTCATCAAAGAGCATCAAAGTGTTAAAGAATGGATTTTGTCGGATCATATGACAACATTTGAGATTTTTTTAATAGCTGTATAGTTCCTACACAGTCTCCTATAAATTGACTCAAGCATAGCAGAGATTTCTGAGGACTCTATATTTTCTCAGTCTTTGTGTGTTAATATGAAACGCATCACTTCCTCCTCCTTTGACTCCTTTCATCCTCTCATTACAAAGCAGTGCACATTACACTAAACCCGCTTCGAGTATCCTATTGGAAATGTCTGTCTGAGGTCTGGCATTAACAGATACCAGAGTTAGTGGTTTCGTCTCCGAGCTCCTTTTCCACTCAGCTAATGAGCGTCACGGGGCCTTTTAAAAATAAAATGTGTTTTAATATGAACCCGAAACAGAATGACACTAAAATTACAATGTATAAAATGACAAACTGATACAATCTAAAAGACTACAAAAATGCATGACGCTAAATCACTAAAAGTTTCGTGTTATCCTTCAACCTCCCAATTATCTTCCAAAACAGCAAAAATAAAATCCCGGAAAGCATCGCCGCTCTATTTTAACCATCATCTGTCTGGTTTTACTCTTGTACATGTCTGATTGACTCCGACAGGCTCTTCAAAATCCAACCAAATCTAATAAGCATTAGCCTGTCACACACACACTCAAAAAGTTGGCCACCAGGTGAGAGGACTCACCTGCAGAAAATCCCTTCTCCCCAGGGACCTGTCAAATTAGCAGTTAGCTATTACGGAGGCTTAGGCCTTGGACCCGTAGAGAGAGAGAGAGAGAATGAGGAAAGAAAGTCAGGAGACTCGCATAACCTCTCAGAGGCCTGGGGCAATGACATGGCGCAGCGTCTGAGGCAAAACCCAAACCATATGAACATTAATACGCACCCGGGGGCCGTTCTCGGAGATTACTTTACATAACGACTAATTGGCCTAATTTGTTAAATAAACACTATATTTTCTTTTGAAGCTTAATACAGGACCACTGGACATAGCAGCCACTCTGAGCCGAGCAGCGACACCCACATCGGGTTTTGGCGGTCTGCTAAAGTCATTTCCCCTCAAAATGAACCTAATTTCCTCTCTGGGTTCAGGCTCATGCGTGTTTGGTTCACCACAGTCATCTAAATGCAGAGATAGTGCTGAATGTAAAGGATGTGTGGACAAGACCGACAACAGCGGTCAATATTTCTGAAATGCACAATGTAAGCTATTGAATCGCAAAGTTTGGGTTGAAAAAAGAACTGGTAATTGTGTAGAATACTGTTTTGTAATATAAGGAAGGCTTTTCAAGCTAATGCAGCTTGGTGGAAAGTCCACAACTGCGTTTTATTTGATTTATTATTATATTTTTACACCAGCTGCGCTACACCAATCATAAAAGTGCTAAATTACCGGTCCAAGCGAGTTCTGGATTCAATAAAACTGGGATAAAAATATATTTTTTATCCAATGAAGAATTCCAAGGCCTTTTATTTTTAATTAAATGGACAGCTAAGTAATCATGGACAAGAGTTGCAAAAAATTAGTCTGAAATGATAAACTATGAACTTGCCGCAAGACTATATTTTAATAACTTTATTAGACATTGAAAGGAGATTAAACACTTTAATTTTCCATTTTGCCAGCTTTTTTGTAATTGCAATGCATCAATCATGAGCAACACTTTCTTCAGCAAGTTTCCACCACATAAAAAAAATGAGATCCTTTATGATCACTGCATTGCTAGAGTTGTTATTTCATTGTGGTCGAAATCTATAAAGTGAAATTAAAACGATGTAAAAAATGAATTGCTCCCCCAACCCATAACATTCATTTGATTGTTCTGAATTTTGCAGTATGAAACTCATTAAAATATGTCATTTTCCTGTACTGCATGTCAACTTAGATCATAAAATGAGTTTTCATTCCTTGCTCAAAGCAAAAGAAAATTTTGACAAGCAAAAAAGCTCTTTTAAGTTTTTAGTTTCACTGAGCATTCTGGGAGAGAAACATGGCTTTCCATCTGAGAAATACATACGAGAATGAACAGCATCTGTGTTCTCAAGGATTATTTTTTTGTGTGTGCAAATGACCAGTGTATCTCTATTCCTAGACAGATTTATAGAAATCTGCATATTGTTTTACGAGACGTTGGAGACCAACAGCAAGTCCAGCTTGCCATTTGCAGGCTAGACAGACTGTCAGTATCATATTTTATTAGTTGTTAATGAATTTAATTTAAAGTACAAAGACACTTTTATGTGATTGTCATTATATTTAATTGCTATAAGCAATTTTTTAGCAATGCAAACTTATTCTGTCTCATGCAGACTAGACGCGGTTAAGTCAAATATTGTTGTATTTGCTCTTTTTTTTACAGACATTTTGGTGGAAAATGATCCTTTTCACAATCCGAAAGAATTCCAGGACTTTACAAGATGATGCTGACAATCTAGATGATTTTGGGTAAACGCACAGACAGATAGACACAAGCTAGCACCCCAAATCCCCTCACCCCAATCCTCCGTCCCACCCTTTAGACCCCCATAACCATTCCACGCTCACACTTTGGCAGCTTACGCAACTCATTTCTTAGAAAAAGTGTCCGTGGGATCAGATAGCCCGAGTCCAAAATATCATATCCCCGTTTTCATGAGCCCAGAACTTGTTGGCTGGCCTCAGATTTATTGTACCTTGTCGTTCTGGAGGAAGATCGTATGCATGTGGTCAGTAGCGAGGAGCCTGCGACCCAACCTCCCTCTCATGTTACGCCCTATATATAACATCCATTCCTCCAGCACCTCCGTTTAACCCCCCCTCCCACGTTCCCTCGCTCCAACACCACTTCTCCAGAAGCGCTGCATCCACTCGGGCCCAGACGGCTCTGTCTTTCCCTCTCCCTCTCTTTTCTCTCTCTCTCTCCCATCTGTCACCCGAGCTTCCTCTTGCAGGCTGTGTGTGTTTACCCTCTTTTTCGGCCTGGCAACGGGGCTGCATGCTCAGGATTACCGGAGGCCTTGCCTTTCATCGCCGCCCGCTCCCTCTTCCTTTTGCCGTTGACTCCTGGACTACGGTGGAAACGGGTGCGAGGCTGCGTTTTTGGGGCTTTTCAGCTTCCCTGGTTTCTCGAAGAGTCTGGAGTTAAGTGGAACCGTCGACACTAAGAGAACATGGATCACTCTCTGTTCGGATGCCTTCGGAGCCCGCACGCCCCATCCCAAGCCCTGCACCCGGCGTTCACCCAGTCCTCCCTGGCCCTGCACGGTCGCTCCGACCACGTCTCCTACCCCGACCTCCCAGGACCCTCGCCGCCCTGCAGCTACGCTGGGGAGGAGGGCAGCTTCGGAGGACCTCATCACAGGGTTCACCCCACTCCGCAGCATCCACACCTCTCGCAGCATCAGTCCTCCTGGCACGTCCCGCAGATGCCGGCGATCGACGGCGAGCGCCTCAATCTCTGTCTGCCGCACCATGACTCTTCGGCTCCAGAACTGTGTGGAGCGGGTTCACAGGGCCTGTGCGCGGGTAACCCAACACTCACTGGTAGTGACCCTTCTGGGGTGTCATGTGTGCCTGGAGAATACGGGAGACAGAACATGTCACCTGCTGAGCCGGATAGACGCAATAGCAAAGGAAAGAGTGACAGCTCAGGTATGTTTTTTTTTCTTTTTTCTGTGTTCTTATGCATAACAGTATAATAATCATTTAATTTTATTTCCAATAAATATTTTTTTGGAATAGTTAAATTGGAAATTATCAATCAAATTGCATTATTACAATATAAATAATTCAAGTGCTTGTCATGACTGGAGACTGTTTTATTACTCATCAGATTTATTCGGAATAGTTTAAGTAAAGGACTTACTGACTTTGGTCAGTAATACAGGATTTCATCATATTTTATATTTTGTGTATTATCTATTTTCTGTAATCTGGCCTTGGAATATAGAATTGGGTGTTTGGAATTAGAATTTGAATTGAGCACCACATTTTTTTCAAGACACTATGTGTCACAATTTGAAATTAAATTTAATTAAGTTAATATATATAATTTTATATAAATATTAAGGGAAATGCATAAATGCACCAAATTACAAGTTTAATATAACTTCAGAAAATCTTGTTTATTTTGCAATATTTTGTGATAATTTAAGTATTAAAAAAGTAGAATTTAAAAATTTAAAAATAGGGAAAAATTAGACATTTATTTTAGAATTTTTACATTTATAGAAATTGGTCCATATTAAGACATATTTAAACAAAATGGTGCTATATGTAGTAAATGGATTTTATTTTATTTCTGCAGTATTTAACATGGGATAATTCAATTCAACTGCCCTGTGTTAGAAAAGACATAAGCAGACAATCAAACTGAAGAAAATATCAAACTAGTACCAGAGAAAAGAAAAGGCTATGTGATAATCAAACTCATAGTAGTTTTAGATAATCAAACTCGCTGCAGTTTAAGAGAAAATCAAACGTTTTACACATTTGACATTCAGATCCGATTCACACACATAAATCGTTCTAATCCATCCGTGAACCACATAGAGGAGCGTGCAAGCTTAACAAATATATCAAACTGAGCAGTTGTATAAATATGGTCAAAAGCAGCTTGATATGTCTAGAGATATGTCTAGTATATTAGAGAAAATGCTTCTTAAAATAAGAATGAATCTGAGGCAATAAAACAAAAGGAACGGAACCCAGAACGGGCTGGACACGGCACAGTAGTGTTTTAATGGCAGGGCCTGGTGCTGTGAGGCTGCCCTGTTTCTTTCTCTCATCAGTCTCAGAGGTGTAAGTCACTCTGGCATTTACCCTCAGGTCTTTAATAGACCACAGGTGAAAGCCGCTTTAAATGCTCACACTGCCCGCAGCTGCGCTTTTGATACCCCCCAAATGCATACGCACCATTTACGGCTGGGGAAAACCGTTAGAGCTGCAGCTGGACAGTTTTTATATAAAATGTGACCCTTAAATTTCAAGAACAATAGAAAATGTCACACCTGGTGATCTAAGTGGTTTGACATTGACGTATAGACTTTAAAAACAGAGGTGCAGAAAAGAAAAAAGAATTGTGAATGTCTTCAGAAAAATATCACTGTTGTGTGTAAAATTCTAAAGACGAAAGTTTCTGAGATTGAACTCAAGGTTTTTGTCACCTTTACAGTTAGTTGAACTGAATTACTCCATCTTATACTGTACATCCAATATATTTTTTTTCTCATGTCATGATGCTGTAGTTTTTCATCCAGGTGCCTGTAATTTATGGCCTGATGGCATACTGATGGATAGGCCCAATGGTGGTAGAAATTTCCAGAAGGCTCCTGTTGGCACTTGCCGTGCCTTTATACCAAATCTAATTTCCTCCAGTCTGTTGGCAGTTATCAAAGGCAGTGTGGTTTCCATTTAAAGCCGTGTCATATGTCGAGATGTTGCAGCGATAGCCTGAACACATTATAGATTATTCGGAAAAGTGATGTTGCATATGAAATACGATTTTCAAAGCTCATAATCTTGTGTACTATAAAAACCTTGGATTTCTAGAGCAGTTGTATTTCCCTGCCGCTTTCAAAGGAGCCAAAAATTCGACATCATACTCGTCTTTGAAAGGCAAGCTTAAAAATATTCATTGGAAACATATTTTCCTTTAAAGATTTTCTTTTTTTTAAAACAAATTGATTTGTATTGGGCTCTCCCAGCCTATTAACTCAGATGATTAGTGATTTGCTTTACTCTGTTAGTCACGTTATATAAAAAGTAAAAAAAAAAATAATAATAATAAAAAGAGAGCGAGAGAGAGATTTGAAAATAAGTAAAGAAAAGGCTATGTGATAATAAAACTCACAGTAGTTTTAGATCCTATTTTTCATAGAAAATGTACATACTGTACAATTATAAGGAATTGTATAATAATGAGAATCGTATTAGATGCTTTTCACATACACCACTGTGGTAACCTGTGATTGTTACCTTTTTAAAAGCTTTTTCTACCTTATCAATCCCCTAAAAATATATATTTTTGGATTAACCTACTGTATTTAGGTTGATTCAATATTTTTGAGGTAATTTAGAGGTTACCACATTATGTACTTTTAAAAAAAGTTTATTTTCTAACAGCAATTGCTTTAGCTTATTTTTATTCTAACATAGCAAATGTATTTCTTGCTAAAATGAAAACCCAACTAGTTCTTTGCTCTGGAATTGATATACTTTGGTCACTGATAAAACGATTCAGTTCCGTTGTTACTTTTAAAGAAATGGTTCAGGCAGCACCAAACTAAATGTTCTATTTTGCACTTTTTCTTTTTAAACGAATTATTTAAAATGAAACTAATAAATGAAAGGATCTAACCCTCTAGTATATGTTGCTATGCACCTGAATAATAAAAACTTTATATATAACTATAATATATTAACAAGCTTCAATCTGCACAGTTACGGTTGAATTTGATCATTTTTGGACCAATCAGAAATGTTCCTTGAGAGAGTTTCATGCATTCTGTTAAAAGAGAAGTGTGTGGAAAATGAAGAGTAAATTGATCTGATTGTTGGAGAGTGTGAACGAAGCCCTGTTGATTCAGGCCAGATTTGAGAGCATGTGTTTCGTTCTCTTGCCATTCTCCGCCTGCTAAAAACACCAGAGCCATATCGCCATAATAAATGGTGATTGGCAGGCCAAATTGTTCCACTTTCATTTTTATTTTTGTTCGTTTATTTTATTTCAGAGCCCTGCAGTTTATCACACCATCTTATTATTTCACCCTTTTTGCTTTCAATATTTTTTTTTTTTTTTTTGTGCGTTTACAGCGGCTGGAAAGTGATCTGTTTTTCATTTCAGATTCCCAGGATGGGAGCTATAAGTCAGACGTGAGCAGTAAACCTAGGAAGGAGCGCACAGCGTTCACCAAGGAACAGATTCGAGAACTGGAATCAGAATTCGCTCACCACAACTATCTGACACGGCTTAGACGTTACGAAATCGCTGTCAACCTTGACCTCACAGAGAGACAAGTACGTTCAACGCTGAGCCTGTTTTCACATGTTACCAGGAGACATAACAATGGCACTTCCATTGGCTTTGAAAATTTTTCTTAGATTGATGGGTAAAAAAGAAAAACTTTGCATAAAGGCTGACTCTATTTAATGTGATCAAGTCGTATAAAGTGATAAACGCAATGTTAAATGTTAGCAATTCTTAACAAATTAAATCGCATGCCCTCATTTACTGATATAAATCTCAAAGCATTTCAGTATGAGCTCTCTAAAAATATGTTTAACGTTAGAAATACAGAGCTCGTGCCGAAGGGTCCAGTTGCCTATGATATAGCCTACTCATTTGGGTTGAGGGAGGTATTCCCACTTTAAAAAAAAAACATTGAAAAGGTCATCGGATTCTGTAAATAACCCTGACAGTGAAGTCTGACAAACTGTCAAATGTAGCCATGATGTTAAACCTCAAGTTCCAAACTACAGTATAATTTTTATTTATGCAAAGCCATTTTTTTTTTTTAAGAATATATTTTTTCTAATGGCTTTTATTAGAAAAGACAGAAGGGGAACAACAGGGAGAGAGAGAAGGGACAACAGGAGGCATGATCCAGGCTGGACCTGTACCAGGGGACCATGAGCACTTTTTCATTAAACAATTATCCCCAGTCTTCCATATTAATCTTTAAATCTATTTAAAATTAGACAGTTGTGAAGTTCACTGTACAAATACTTTCTTCAAAATGTCCCACACACCCCACACAGCCACTCCAGAGTTTAGAATCATTCCAGCTGAGTCTTGACCTAAAAAGAAGCAATATAAGCAACTCACCTAGGATTTGCCTTTTTGTGTTTCATTCCCGTTTCTCCTTCCTACTCCTCCACAATTGCTTCCTATCCAGTGACTCTCAGCAGCACAGATCCAAGAAATCTGTGGACGTGGGTTGATCTCAGATCTTAAACAACAAAGTCTGGAAATCAGCCCTTTCTGTGCAACTTCGATGTATTGGATTTATATTAATGTGTCACATACACACTCATAAAAAACGTAATGCATAATATTGTGAAATAATATAAATGAAATGTGAAATATGAGAGCGCAGTTCCATAAAACCTGTAGTTCAAAGAATTGCAAAAGAGTTCTCAGTTCTCACACTTCAACTAAAAGTTTTTGTCGTGTAAGGAAATCTGCCGACTCATTTAAGAGCTCACTCTAAAATACCTGCGCTGCGCTTCCTAAAATAGCCTTCTCAGCCTGAAATAGTCCCCTGTCAAGCCTGAGGTGGGGGGTGAGGCGCCGCAACTCAGTCCAGATCTGATCGACCCGTTTTAGGCAGCAGCTTGATCATCACAGTGGAGACGCAAATACAGAGAAAAGTGTCAAGTCAGGACCTGGAACATGGGTCAACGGGCGACCAGGAGTTTTGCATCAGCACATAACTGACCAGGTGGAAATAGCCTAGAGAGCCAATCCTAGTCCCCATGAGAGCCAATCATATCGCTGCTCCACCAAACTTCCCAGAAGTCTGCTCCAAAAGAAAAACACAAGAGCAGATCCACTGTGACTTTGAGAATGTTTAAAGATTAAAAGCAGATATGAAGGACCCTTCGAATCTATCCGCAAAGCACATGAAATGAGGTGTTTTGCTTGGTTTATGTATGTGGTCTATACGTGTGGGATCTGAGTGCTGTGTTGGCAGAAAGCTTGAAATCTGTCGCTCATCCAATCTGATACACGGGCATAGTATGAAGGGGGTTCTGATACAGAGAGCATGATGGTGGTTTTAGAGTGGGGGTCTACATGCCAAAACAACTCTTTCTGGAAAGTGCCATAACACACACCCTAACACACGTTCCCACAAAGTGGCGTTGAGTTTCCCTGATGCAGATCTTGGGCGCCTGCGTTGCTAAGACACCAATAACGCCTTATAAACATTGTGTGTAATTGACTACTGTATAATAGCTTTGCCAAAAATGTTTCCTAACGAGCAAACAACACTTATTTATTCATTTGTTTGCCTTAAAGGGTTAGTTCACCCAAAAATGAAAAATCTGTCATAATTTACTCACCATCGTGTCATTCCAAACCCGTAAGACTTTCGTCCCTCCATTGACAGCAATTAAAATTGCAATTTGCCCCGTCAAAGTGGTTGTGTTGCTGTCTATGGAGGGACAGAAATTTCTCAGATTTCATCAAAATAGATCTTCATTTGTGTTCCGAAGATAAACGAAAGTCTTACAGGTTTGTAACGACATGAGGGTGAGAAATTAATGAGAGAATTTAAATTTTGGGGTGAAATATCCCATAAATTATATAAATATATCTATTGTATTGTTTTGATCTATTCTTAATTGTTCTTATGAGTAAACTTACTATAATACAGGGTTGGTAAAAAAATTCATAGTATAAAAATGTGCTCTTTTGCTGTTACTTCTTTCAGTTGAGTGTGAATTTCATTTCGAATCGGCCACAGGACGCTTTACAGGAACTTTACTGAAGTGCAATTCAAAGATATTCACACAAAAGATTTTGCAATAAAACAAAATAACATCATTAATTTTTTGCGCACTCTAAAATATGCAGAATACATGTTTTACCTATAGATGTATTTCTGTAATTTTCCTGTTAAAATCATTTAAAATGAACAAAATAGGTGTTTAATGTTAAATACAAATAAATGTAACATTATTATTATTATTATTATTATATTTAATTGTGTAATACATTGAATAAGAGCATTTGTGGATATGAAGTTCTCCCTCCACAGTCCATGAATAGTTAATTTATTAAATATATTGAAATATTTATCAATTTCATACAAATTTATATAGGTAGAATTTCAAATATTGATGAATATTTTATCTTATTTTATTTCAACTAGTTGCCAAATCAACATTTCTCATCTTCGTTTAGTTTAAGTACTAACTAAAACTTTATAAAAACAACTATTATTTATATATATAATGAAAACAGAAAATATACAAATAAAATCTAACTTAAAATATTAACAAAAACTATACTAGTATATCAAATGATACTAAAAGATGATAATATGTTTATGGGCAATTCATGTGGAGAAATGAAATTTTCTATTACAAATTACACTAACAGCTTGACTAAAATTCTGCATTCTGTTTGATTTCTATATACATAATATGACTACATGAACAGCATTTCTCTTTCCTGCAGGTAAAGGTGTGGTTCCAGAACCGAAGGATGAAATGGAAGCGAGTGAAGGGAGGTCAGCAAGGGGCCGCCGCACGCGAGAAAGAACTGGTGAATGTAAAGAAAGGAACTCTCTCGCCCTCCGAGTTTTCCCCAATGGTCGGACTACACCATCCCATCGGTTCTCCTAGCAATGAGGACGACAGTCACGACAGTGACCAGAGCTCCGAGCACGCACATTTATGATGCCCGGACTCCACCCAGTCACAACCTGGCAATTTCCTCAGGAATCAACTATGTTGGTACTCCGAAGGCTGTTAACAACTAGTACTGGGCCATGCTTTGTTATTTCACTCTGAGTGGTTAGGGTTTGTTCTTGGTCTGTGAAACAGATGCTCACTGGGTTGCAAACCAGAGCTCAGCCCCCAATGGCACCAAACTTTGAAGATTAGTCTAAATAAACGTCAAAGGGGTTTAAAGGTGGCCACGCTTTTCAAGAGACTATGCATTCATCCACGTTTGACTCAGATTTACATTGTAAATAAATGTATAAGTTTGAATGTTGTAAACATTCCACACGAGTGCCTTGGGGAGGATTTTTGCACTGTTTTAAGTTTTTGCCTAACTGATTGCTACTGTATTTTTGCAGATTTTGATCAAATTATCATTGATTACAAAATAGATCTATAATCTGTGACAGCACAGAATAAGTATTATTTTAGTCCATTTGTAAAGGGGGAAAAAAGATGCCATTAATGACCATTTGTTGATTAATTGATTGAATTAGAATGAAAAAGTAGTTTTTAAACTGACAAATGTCCATGTATTTTTCCCTCCACAATATGGGTATATGTTTGGATAATCAAATGGACTGAAAGTGACATATGCAGCATAGTGATAAACATTTAATTTAGAAGGATAATTAAAGGATAATTTTGACTTACCTTTCCTAAGGCGTGTGTACTTGTGGACTGCAAATCATTTTCCATGACATACAAAAAATACACTACAGTTTAAAAGTTTGGGGTTGTTTTAAATAGAAGTCTCTTATGCTCACCAAGACTGCATTCATTTGATCAAAAATTCAGTAAAACAGACATTTTGTGAAATATTATTACAATTCAAAATAACTTTTCTATATTTTAAAATGTAATTTATTCCTTTGATGGCAAAGCTGAATTTTCAGGATCAATGTCAAGATGCATGTGCTGCTTAATATTTTTGTGGAAACCATGATCTTTTTTTTTTAGGATTCTTTACGGTGAATAGAAAGTTAAAAAGAACAGCATTTATTTGAAATAGAAATCCTTTGTAACATTATAAAAGTCTTTACTGTCATTTATGCGATCAATTTAATAAATCATTGCATTTCTTAAAAAAAAAAAAAGAAATCTTACTGCCCCCAAACTTTTGAATGGTAGTGTTCATATGAAGGCAATATTACAAATGGAATATTTTCTTTTGTTGTTCAGGTTTACTATATAGTTCATATCTTTTATTTACCTTGTAAATAAACAAATGTTAGGTATTTTGATTTCAACTTTTTTCATGAAAAAATTAATAAATTTCACACACTCAAAAAAAAAAAAAACTAATTTGAAAGGCATTTTTTTGAAGGAAATCTTACCAAACGTTGAAGAGGATTATGTGATGTAAATGTTATGGAAAGCCATGTTGAAGGACTAATATTATGGTTTGGCGTTTCTGTGAAGACCACGTGAGTGAGCATTCTAATTTCTGGACTGGCACTTTATCGAGTCGGCCAACTTCTTGAACGTCGTTGCTCATATATGAGAGCAGCTGGTGATTCGATAGCTGTAGAAGTTTGGACTGGTTTGATTTGTGGCTTTGCCGTTCCCCCGACACATAGGCAAAACCCAGGCTAAGTGGATTTGTTTTCAGTTGTGGTCGAAGCCAGCCATGCATTTTCTCTCTGTGGAAGACGTTTTTGATTAGCCGTCCGATTTAGATGTTTGTGTATGATACACTGTGATCAAAGTGAGACGAAGAACGATCCCCTTGGGGAAACAATTCGTGGCTTTACGAAATGAATGGGAAATATATTTATGACCCCTCAAACCCTGCCAAGCACCCAGCTGCACTGATCACAGCCGCGTCTAAACAACACATGATGAATATGGCCCGTCAGCGGTCCCAAACAGACAAATCAATAAAAACACGAGCAAATAAACACAAATCAAGACAAACATGACTTGGGTATAAAAAATACACCCCGAACCACAAGCAAAGTGGAGCACAAACAAACGGAGGTAAACAAGCAAGACTTTTTTCCTGTTTGTCTTTCCAAACAAACCTAACTTTCATAAGACTTTGTTGATTTGCTGTTGGTGTGATTTTTCTATCTCTGCAACCGCTTTGAGTACTGTGTAAAGAAGTAGGATAGTCCATCCAAACATAAATGTTGTGCCAAATCTGTATGACTTTCTCTCTTCTGCCGAACACAAAAGAAGATATTTCGGTTCCCATTGACTTCCATTATATTTTTTGACCATGGCATACATATGGAAGTCAATAAGAACCAAAAATGTTTGGTTACCAACATTCTTCACAACGTCTTCTTTTGTGTCCAGAATGACATGAGAGTGAGTAAAGGATAGAACTTAAGGGACCTTTCACCCAAAATTATTTACTCACCCTTATGTTATTACAAGCCTGTATGACTTTTAACACAAAATAACTGTTTCCATACAATGATTTTGAATTTTGGGTGAACTGTCCCTTTAATTCAGAGAGTTTAGTTCTTGTTGTTACTTACAAATGTAACCCAGAGCAATTATCTTGAAGCAATAGGCTTTATGCCGAGCGTCACGTGACCAAGCCGGAAAACAGGTCACATCACTTCCGATTCAGGTCTTTTGTATGTGCTTCATGAAATTTTTTGCGGTTTTACTCAAGATAACTTAAAAGGAGCACGCAAAAATGAGCACAACCAATGTCCCTCGCATGTGCAGATTGATATTTAAAAGTTTTTTAATTTTTCTTCTTCACACTAACGTTTAGATATTTAAACAGCATAAAACACCAATAACAAAGTGAACTTAGTAGGTTAGCTGATTACCTTAAAAATCCATAGATATCGTAGTTAGTTCTTACGGCCGTTAACACTTTCTCTGACAAGCGGATGCAATGAGACCTGTTTTCCGGTTTGGTCACGTGACGCTCGGCATAAAGCCTATAAGCTTCAGGCACAGTTTTATTTGCACAATAATCCCATTTCTTTCTTGCATTCAAACAATAAGTTTATATTGTTCTCCTGAGCATTTAGAAACTTCCCAGTCAGTGCGTGCATTGCATGAGGAAGATTTTTTTTTTTAATGCAGTTGTTTTGGAATACCTCTGGCCTGTTACTTTTTGATCCTGAATGAACCTTCTACCTTGACCCCACAGGGAACAACTTTCCTTTAACAGGAAGGGTAATGTTGTCATTTCTCCATGCCATGCCAAGAACAACATGGCCAACTGAAGAGTTTTCCACACAGGGTCTGAGTGTCTGCTCAGCCTCCTTCCAAAAAGTGATTTAGGATCATTTTCGGTGCAACTGTAGGTGTTGACGAATGATGTTCACTGAGGTACAATCCTCCGTATACCACGTGACTGTTGTTATTTTCCTTCTGATGGCTGAACGTGCCCAATCTTTTCTTTGTCTTTCATCAAGGAACAAAAGAAATGGTTATGCATGCAGGTATATGAAACGTTGGCATTTTATAGAGACTCTGCGTCGGTGAAAGACATGTCTAGAGAGTAAAACGACTACGGATACGCCTGCTCTTAATTTGTCAGTTTCTACAAACCGTTTAGGTCAAGGCCAGGTCATGATGCATCTGGGACACGTTAAAAAAGGCCATCTGTGAAAAATCTACAACTGTTACATGTTTATTTAAGTAATTAGAAACAACTTGGAATTAAAATTACATCACATCACTGTATTTACCAGAATTTTGAGAATATCTATTGAGATTAGAATCGTTTAAATATTAAAAATGTATTAAAAATAAAGATTCTTCATTGGCATTGATGGTTCCAAGAAGAACCTTAAATATCAATGGAATCTTTTCATTTCACAAAAGGTTCTTTATAGTGGAAAATGTTCTTTAGATTATTAAAATGTTCTTCACACTATGAAAATATGGTTCTTTTGAGAACTGATCACTGAAAGGTTCTTTGGGGAACCAAAAATGGTTCTTCTATGGCATCACTGTGAAAACCCTTCACTGTAAAAAATGACATGATCAATAACATATTTTTTTTACATTACTTCAACTCATCAAAATAAGTTTAGCCATTTTAAACTGTATTCTTTAAGTTATACGAGATTCAACTCGTACACAACTCAAGTCGGTGTAGTGTAATTTAATTTGAAATGACATTCAAGTTGATTGTACTTAAAAATGTAAGTTAAGTGTTTCTTTTTTTTTTAACAGTGTTTGAAACCCTTTATTTCAACCTTTTCTTTTACATTCTTTGTATTTTTTAACCTGCTTGAATAATGAGAATTATGCAGTGAGACAGATTTAATAATAGCAGTTCAGACCAATCCAGTGATGTGGTTTTATCATAATATCACATATTCTCTATTCGGCTAGGGCTCAGGAAACTCTTCTGAATCTTAAGAATATGGATGGAGAATACAGGATGACGAAATGCAGGAAACCACAAACCCTCCAATAAACTGGCAGGGAACCATGACTGACGGCTGTTTTAGCCATTTAGAATCTTATTTATTGGCACAACAGTCACTTTTACTACAGAAGAACTGGGCCAAGAACTGAAACTAACAGCGTAAAATGTGACTTCACACCTGGAGCATTAAAACCACAAATCACGAATATAATCCTCAGAACAGACAGGAGAAGAACTCCGATAATTATGGAATTATGAATAAAAGCAAGAAAATATTATAATAAAAAGGTTATAGCCTATTTTACTTTTTTTTTCTGTAACATTCACTTTAAATGACAACTGCCATTTAGGTCGAAATGGTTAAATGGCTTTTTTGATGGGGTAAAATTAAAGGAATAGTTCACTTAAAAATGACAATTCTGTCGTCATTTACTCACCTTATGAATTTCTTTCTTCTGCTGAACACAAATGAAGATATTTTGAAGAATGTCAGTAAACAAACAGTTGATGGACCCCATTGATTTCCGTAGTATTTTTTTCCTACAATGTGAGTCAATGGGGCCCATCAACTGTCTGGTTACTGACATTCTTCAAAATATCTTCTTTTCTGTTCAGCAGAAGAAAGAAATTCACACAGGTTTGAAACAACTTGAGGGTGAGTAAATGATGACAGAATTTTGTTTTTTGAAGTGAACAATTCCTTTAAACTCAAGACCAACACATACACTGAATTCATTTTTAATTAATTTAAATTAAGTAAAAAAAAAATATATATATATATATATTAATTGCAATAAATACAAAATGATAACTACAAGCAACATTCTTGCATGCAAAACATTAAGGTTGCATCCAAAATCGTGCACTTCCCTACTACATAGTAGGCAAAAAATAGTTTGTGACAAAAAAATGTGATGTCAGAATTCACAGTACTCATAAAAGAAAGAATGACCTACTTTCGGCGAGATTTTGAAGTGCATATAGTGCATATGATGGACACTTTACTATCCCATTAGGGCCGCATGAGAGGATTTGTGAATGACAGTGAAACAACACAACTGACGCTTGTAGGTCACATGATAATGACAGCATGG